AAAAGTTAAGGATAGGCTTTCTTCGCCGAGAAATCAGGTTTTAAGTGTTTTAGAGAGTGACATTGACATTAACGAAGAAGTAGAATTCGCATATACATGAGAGTAAACAAGGTGAAATCTAACCCCAATAACATATTCATTCCATAATATCAAACCCGTTCATCTTTGCACTTTTGTCCAATTGATCAAATTGCATGCATATTTACTTTTCGGTATTTTCATTCTAAACCTAAAAGAGTTTGTTTTCAAGTTCTATTTAATCAAGAAATCACATAACTGTTTAGGCTGTGAGTCCTTTGGGATACGATACTTGGTCTTACCATTTTATATTACTTGATACGATTCGGTACACTTGTCGGAGTCTTAACAATGCAGACCTGGTGCGCTCGCGAACTTGCCAACCGCCAGGATGCTCGTGATTTGCAGGTTGAGTTAGACGAGGAAAAGAAAACCTCAGGTGAACTTCGAGCCCGGCTGGAGGCTTTGGCGGTTGATCACGCCGAGTGTGTCGAGTGTCAGACCTGCCTGCAGACCAAGCTTAATGAAGTTCGTGAAGAGTTGACTAGAATTGTCGATAAGTTGAAGACCGCCCGGGCGAAGGGTGATCAAGCGATAGAAGAGGTCGGCAAGCTGAAGGTTGAAGTTAAGAGGCTGGGAAGAAGGGAGGAGGAGTTATCCGACCAGAATGAAACTCTTACCTCCGAGCTACTTAAAGCGAACGAGATGATCGCCACCCTGAATTCGAACGTGGTGATCGAATTTGAGGAAGGTTTCAATAAGGCCATGCGTCAGGCGACCTTCCTCCTGGGGCGGATCCTTTGGCCTCAGGTTTTGATATCAATCAAGATGTGTTCGGTGGGAAGATGATGCTGATAGACGAGGTCGATGACGATGATTCAGGCGTGGATGAGCTTGTTAACAATGAGGAGACTATGGCCCTCGAGGACGATCCGGTTGATGGAGAACCGGCCGACGGGAGGAGTAAGGGAGCGGCTAATGATGGGAGGTTTCTTTTTTATTGTATTTTTGAGGTGTGGTCGAACGTCAAACACTTAAGTTTATTGAGTGTTTGCGTCATCGGCCCACCGATACCCTTTGATGTATACGTCCTCCTTTTACTCGTGAATACAATGTTTGTTTTTTGCTTAAGTGTTGTGTTATTTTTCGTCTTGTTCTCTAAACGCGATTAGTTAATTTTAACGATAACGCGCGATGGTAGTTTCTTTTCTATTTGTTGGTGCTCACCGCCCGACAAAGTTAATGATGATTACGGAATACATTTAACATCTTTCGAACGTGTCTGGGCGGATGTGATTGATGAATTCGCAGCACAACGCCCGGCCAAGTTAACAAAGGTTATTGTTTGTAAACCTAAATTTGTGAACTGGGTGGTAGTGGTTCTTTTTGTGAACTTGTCGTTCACCACCCGATTAAGTTGACAGGGGTTCTCTTGGGAACTCCGTTCATCAACTTGGTTGTTTGAACCGGGCGGCAGTAGTTCTTATTGGGAACTTGTCGTTCACCGTCCGGTTAAGTTGACAGTGGTTCCTTTTGGTACTCTCCGTTCATCAACTTGGGTTTTCCTTTCTTCGTTTGTAAGTCGTTGGATATCGTTTGAAGCACTTAACTGCAAATAGGAGTCCTGAGTATTGCATTAATTGTATCAAAAAGAAAAGTAGAACGAGTAAGGATTTAACTGAAATAAAATTTTAGATGGGAGGCGTTCCAAGTGTTTGGAATTGGTCGTCCGTCTGGGTGGGCGAGGCGGTAGGCTCCGTTTCCAACGCTTCGGTAATTTTGAAGGGTCCTTCCCACTTGGCTGCTATCTTGCCATGCGACATCGTTCGTCGCGCTTCTCTGGTTTTTCTCCACACTAGGTCTCCTTCTTGGAAGCTCCTTAGCCTGACCTTGGTGTTGTACCTTCTTTCTACCATCCGCTTACACGCTTCTGCTCTGAGTGTCGCTCGGTCTCGACGCTCTTCTAGGGTCTCTAATTCTATCTTTAATTCTTCCTCATTTAAGTGAATATCTTCTAATTGTCGTCGTAAGGAAGGTTCTCCAAGTTTGACTGATAACATGGCATCGGTGCCTTATGTTAAATTGAAAGAGGTTTCACCGGTCATTCCATGTGAGGTGCATCTATACGCCCATAAAACTTCTAGGAGTTCATCCACTCATGCTCCCTTTCTCTCACCCAACCTTCGTTTGAGTTCAGCGACGATCGTCTTATTCACCGCCCCAACTTGACCGTTCGTTTGGGGATGCTCAATCGAACTGGTGACATACTTTATGTCTAGTCCCTTGTAAAATTCGCCCAGTTTTTTATCGATGAATTGCCGACCATTATCCGTTACTATGGTTCGGGGGAGATCGAAACGGCAAATGAGTTTCCACACGAACTTCTGCACTTGCTGTGCGGTGATAACCGTCAGCGCCTCGACCTCTACCCATTTGGTGAAATAGTCCATGGCGACAAGGAGGAATTTCTTTTGGGCTCGTCCAAGGGGAAATGGACCAATGATGTCCATTCCCCATTGGGCGAACAACTAGGGGGAGATGATGTTATGCAGTATGGTGGGTGGAGCGTGGACATCATTAGCATGTGCCTGACAAGCGGGTCACCTCTACACAAATTGCCTGATGTCCTCCTCCATAGTTGGCCAAAAGTATTCAGCTCTGATCGCTCGGGCTTTCAGGGTCCGACGTCAGTGTGGAGGCCACAGATCCCATTGTGCAGTTCATCAAATACATACTGGGATTCCGGTCCAGACAAACATTTGAGGAGAGGGGGTGGAGAAGCCCCTCCGGTTTTGGACATAATGTTGAGGACTAACCTTGTGGATGGTATGGAGGGCAGGAGGTCCTGGTCTATGTGCCGGTTTTGGACATAGTGTTGAGGACTAAGAAGGCATCACAAGTGCGTAACCTCCCGTTGACCGCTCATCAACATATCGTCGAGATAAGTGTTTATTGGGTATTGTGGAATGAGTGTCTATTGGGTATATTGGAATGAGTGTATATTGAGTGTATCAAAGTAATGGATGAGTATCTATGATGCGATTGTTGTATGATGGTATGAGGGTGTCTGACATAATTATTATATGAGGTTTGTTGAGTGTATCAGAGTAATTATGCATGTTTTATAAATGATTGATTGCATGTTAGCTCACCCTACTTGTTTGTGTTTGTGTATGTGCGATGATCGTATAATTCGTTATATGGGAGCAAATGGAGGAATGTCGTCTGATTCAGTGCCAATGAAGAAAGAGATAGAAGAATAAATTAGAAGAATTCGAGTTATATTTATGAGTTTGTAGTTGAAATCTGAGTTTAAAATATATATATATATATATATATATATATATATATATATCAACTATGAATTATCAAGTGTGAGATTAAGAGATGTTACCTTAAATGTAATGCTACAATATATCAATTATGAATTATCAAGTGTGAGATTTTGGGATGTTACATTTCACATAGTTAAAATTAGTAATTTAAAAATATTTTTGTTATATCATTTTGTAGAATGAGTATAACAAGGAATTACGTAATGTAATGAGGATTACATATTGAGATCAAAATTAATTGTTTTGATGTTCATGTACCATAATCATATGTTAAGTCTCATTACATAGAAGCTTAGAGATGAAGTATACGTTTTTTTTTCTTCAACGACAATGATTCGTGCGTTTTTGTTTTTGGGTTTATTCAGTTTATATTATAAGTGTAAGTTTATATTAAAAAGTCATTCAAGAGTTTTAATATATTAAAATGACTTTAATTTTATTGAGTTTCAATAAATAAATAAATAAAAACTGAAAATCGTGAATGAAGTTATTACAATCGATTAAACTAAAAACAAATTATTTCTAATAATTTTAATCTATTAAAACTCGTTTGATTGATTAAAATCATTCAAAGTGATGGTATTTATTTTGGTATCTATCTTGGTATTTATTTTTTCTTTTTCTCTAGCTTATCATTGTACTGTACTTCTTCATATTTCATTGTTGTCTTTCTTGGAACTAAAGATCATTAAATAACATCTCAAATTATCAAGAAACTTGATTTTGATGTTCCAACTTAACTAGTATATTACTTCTAATAAGAAAATCTCACCCAAAAAAAAATTGTTTTAGTATTAGACATATTGAGATTCAATAAAAATTAGTCATTTATTTGGAAAAGAAAAATTATAATTCATTTAAACTTCCTCAAGCTATATTTTTCACATGATATTAAATTTTGTTTTAGAAGTTATTGAGTTATAATTGATTATAATATTTCAAAATAATTTTTAAACAACAAAATATTAGTATAATAATAAAATTGTTTATTTTAAATACTATTGGATAACAGTCCAAGTTTAATCCCTGAAAAAATAATAAGTTGTTCGACTCTACTTGTGTTTTATCCCATGTATCTTAGTATATAGATAGATAGATTTTTAACTTAAAACTCAATTATCTCAAGTCTTATATATTTAGTTATTCCACATATATTTTTATCCTTTACCTCTTTGAAGAAGTAGATGTCACATCTCTTTTCAAATGTAACTTACAATTATCCCTACATTATTAATTCCTTTGCTTATATATATCATATTAGGTATATTATTATCTTGTTACTTTCGATAAGGTATATTACTATCTTATTACTTTCAAATGGGTATATTATTATCTTGTTATTTTCACACAGGTATATTATTATATTATTGTCTTGTTACTTTCAATCACACTTTGGTTAAACTTTTCAATATGCTTTGATTTCATTTATGCTTTCTTAAACAAGTTTAGTTCCTTATTTGAGCAACTATAAATTGGCTCTGAATGTTAATAATTCAAGTCAAACCAAGTTTTCTCAAATTATTCATAGGTCAGTCACACACATTTATTTATACATTTTATGCTTGAATTTTCTTTCTTAATTATTTTACCATATTTTTAATTAGCTATTGTTTTTATTTAAGTTAGTTTTGAACTTGCAGTTAGAACCTGAATTTGATACAATGGAACAAATTTCTTTATCCAACGAAGAAAAGACAGTGGTTTTAGTTGGACGTACTGGAAATGGTAAAAGTGCAACTGGAAATAGCATCCTGGGAAAAAATGCCTTTGAACTAAGAACAAATTCTTTTGGTGTATCACGTATTTGTGAATTACAAAAGAGTACCACAAAAGATGGATCAATTATTAATGTTATTAACACTCCAGGTAATAAATGTTTATTTAGTTTTGATTTATTGGATAATTTATATTCCATTTACTTTAAACAAATGTAACTACATTGATTATTTCAGGATCAAAGGAGTGTTAGCACAATTTTATTTCTTAATTAATAGCTAAAATTTTCTCAAAATTAAAATTTTGATTAAGTCTCACTTCTAAATAAAAAACAACTGAAAAATAAAACTTACCCAATGTCACAATAAACATATTGGAAAGAGTGCTACTACCATTTTTCTTCAATCTATGCTTTTGATAATTTTATCATATACAAATTTGTTTAAATGCTTAAATTTCTTTTTGAGGCTAAAAATAAAAGGTTTATGTTCATAACCCCTTAATGTTGTTCTTGTAATCTTTTTATTTTTTTAAAGAAAAGATTTCTCTTTTTTCTTCTTTTCAACTTTTTATTAATAATATATAGTATGGTTTAGTCCACGTGCATATATAGTAATTTTGTTTTGATGTATTTAAAGTATGATATTTTTTTAATTAAATTGGTTTTGTTTCTAATATAAATTATGTTATTAAAAATTATAGTGGTTTATTCTTAAATTTGTTAGTAGGACCACAAATCCTGTGTATAAACATAAAAAATTTATCTTGAAATCTAAAATCTGTTATATATGTTTTGTAGGATTGTTTGATGGAAGTGATTCTCCTGAGAAAGAAATAATTAAATGTATTGATTTGGCTAAAGATGGATTTCATGCACTTCTTGTAGTATTTTCTGTTAGAACTCGTTTTACTGAAGAGGAAGAAGCTACTTTACGTGTTGTTCAAACTTTGTTTGGACACAAAATTAGTGACTACATGATTATAGTCTTCACTGGAGGAGATGAACTTGAATATAATAAAAAGACATTGGATGATTATTTAGGTCAAGAATGTCCACAAACTCTTAAGGTATCTTATCATATTATAATTTACATGCGATTATGTGAACATTAAAAAACTCTTAACTGCAAACATGTGTATCATTTCATTATTCTATTTCTCTTATATATATATATATATGTCCCTTCTAGGAATGACAAATACATTGATAATAAGTGTTGTATGGGATGAATTTTTTTAATGTAATAAATTGAAGATACTTCATTTGTAGTTATAATATGACTATTTTTTTTCAATACATAGGTAGTATAAGAGAAAAAAAAATCTTTTATCTATATATAATGTGTATACAAATTGTATTAAATAAATCGAGAATTATTATATTGTAGGCATTCTTCATGTACATGGTTAATTATTACTTATTCATTTAATATAATTTTTGTGTTAATTTCTTATATTATATAAGTGGTGATCTTTAAAGAGTTTTAACACTATTGTAGGATATTTTACTTCAATGTGACAATCGCAAAGTGCTCTTCAATAACAAAACTAAGGATGAAACAAAACAACTACAACAAGTTCAACAACTTCTGGATCTTGTAAAAATGGTTACATCAAAGAATAATGGACAACCTTATACCAATAAGACATTTGTAAAATCACAGGTAAAAAATTGTACATTGTGAAAACATTTTATAAAAATTGATTCTACATAGCACACCAGTCTCTGTTCACACTATGTTAACAATGATTATATAGTTTGTAGTGTGCACAAACACCAATCAAAGTATGATATTAGTGTTAATAATGTTTGTATATATAAAAAAAAACATTAAATACCATTTAATTATTGTTCTTTTGTTATTACAAATGATAATTGTATCTTGATATATAGGGAGGATCACCATTGAAACAAGAAATTGCAGATCTTTTGGAAAAGTTAGAAGAAGAAAAAGTTGAAAGACTTAAGATTGAAGAAAAATTGAAGTCAGCACAAGCTAGAATGATGAAATTCGAAAACTGAGATATAATCTTGAGACAACGAATACGCCACGTATACTTCAACAACTAATGTCTATCTATGGCGTTCTCTGATTTCAGCACTATTTTATATTCAAAATTCAAGTATGTGTAAGATTAATGTGTATATATATATATAATGTGTATGTATATGTATCATGTGTGTGATACATTACCATAAACTATTTTATCATTCAAAGTATTTTATTCAAATAAATAAAATGTATGATTGTTCACTAGTGCAAAATCAGTGTATAATGTCACGCATTTAACGTCCAACCACTGAATAGCCAAGGTTAAAAATGATCGGTGACATTTTTGTAAATAAATGTAATTGTAGAACGTAGAAGCTTCATTCAATTCGACATTATATGATGTAATTCTGTAAGGGCTTCGACGTATTATTTGTCAGCCATCGACATATTATTTGTCAGCCAGAAGCCAAAAAGTAATCCCTTTTTAATTCTTTTTTCCTTTTTCTTTTAAACCACATATTGTAGGAACTTCGACATATTATTTGTCAGCCAAAAGTTTCCCCTTTTTAATTTGAGCTGAAGATTGAAAATTCATTCACTTTATCTTAGCGCACGAGACTCTCTTCTCTTCTCAAACTTTTCTCGAACGAAGTTTGACGACCATCACATGTAATTTTTGACCGATTATTTTCGTGTTCGTATCCTTCGTAAGCGCATTCTGTTTTCTCTCTCACTAGTGGAAACACTTTATTCCGACGAACCCACCTTTTGAAGGTTAGTTTTCGTTTTCGTTTTGAAGAACTTATTTGTTGAACTCGTTTGTTGTTATTTGGTTGAACTTGTTTGTTGTTGTTGTTTAATTGAACTTGTTTGTTGTTTATTATTGTTGTTTGTTATTGATCCTATACTACATGTTCATAGTTCATGTTTTATAAAATACCAAAAACTGAAATTTGTTGTTTTTATACTTTTCAGGTCTAATAGAGTTATAAAAAAAGGATTACAATTAATTAAAAAAAACAAAAAAATTATTTAACGTCGAATATTAACAAAATTCGAAGAGTGAAGAAGTTTTCCAATAAGTCTCCCAAATTGAAAGTGTTTTATCTTTTTTAGATTTTTCACATTCAAACTGTTTCTGCTATTATGTAACCTATATGTTAATTTTTGCAAAAAATAAGTTAGACATGCAAAGATTTTAATAAAAATATATCGAAAGTGGAAAATACATTATTTCAATACTGAAAAGAGGAAATTCTATTGGTATGCTGTATTTTGGAGGTTTTACATCAATAGTATTTGTGTTTTCGGTGAAAATAGAAAATTAAAATATTTTATCCAGAAAGAAATATATTTTTTGTTTTTATTAAATCTAACAATCTTCTTCAATCTTCCATTTAAATTCTTAAAAAATTATAAATTGGATGGAAAATAGTCAAATTTAGTGCTTAAATAATTGTTGCAATAATTAAAATTTACTTTCATATAATTATCTAAAACTTCACTGTTTTTTAGTACAAATATATTTTTATTTACTTTTTATATTTATGAGAAAGAGTTAAAAATAAATAGAAATAGGTTTCAATGCAAGAAAAATAACTTGGATAGTAACAGCTCAATAAAATTCTTATTCACTTGATTATCTTAACTCTTGAATATACTTTGAAATTTGATACAAAGAGAAAGGTAGTACGTTTGATGATATTAATATTTGTAATAGTTTCGAAAACATTAGAAGACTATAAGGTCATGTTGGCTTTTAATTTGTTGTACGAATGTGTGTATAGATATGCATAAGTGTTTGTAAATTTAGTACTAGATATGAGAAAGTTGAACAAGATACAAGATTCATAAATGTATTCTTTTAAAGTTTTAACTTAGATATGTTATTAATCCCTTATATGCTTTAGGTTCATGTAATCAACACCTTCTTTTTTAAAAGTGTTAAACTCTATATTAAATCTCAAAATATGTCATTAAATTTTCAGAATAAGTTTTACCAGTACTTTCAGAAGAACAAGATAAATAGTTAGAAAATAGATAAATGTAAATTTCTTGTAACCCACATTATTTTTTTTACTACTTTTGATATATTACCTTTTTTTCCTTAGTATGTGCTCTAATTATAATTTGTTTTTCTTTTTTTTATTTCTTTTAATTTTCATCATCATTTAATTTTATCTCATCTCTTCCAAATAAATTGTGATAAGTCCCTAGCCTCTATCAAAGATGGAAAAAAGAGTTTAAGGAGAATCAATATGATCAAGATGATGTTTTTTACCTTATTCTATCAGTGAGTTTAGTTATCTTAAATAAAATCTACAACTCATGTTGTTTATTGTGTTTTGTAAGATTGTTAGTGGCACCTTCCCTTTTGAGGTTACCACTTCTAGAAGAATAAAAGGCTTAAGCCTAGTCCAAGAGAGTGTTCTTACCATACACCCCCTTTTGCTAAGGAGATTACTAAAAGGAGAAAAAGACAGCATCTTGGAGCGGAAGCCATCATGCACACTTGGGAGGAGAAAGAATGCACTTTTATGATGATTTTGTAATGAGTGGAGAATATTCTCCATTTTCGTTATCATTTACTTTTGGATTTTTTTTACATAGTCGTCGTGCTATTATTGTTATGAGGTGTAAGAGCTAAAAGAATAGGGTATTATAAGTGATGGTGTATTTTAAATAATGAAATTCGCTTATTTTAACATTAAAAGTTCAAATATATAAATAGAATTTCAAGTTTCATTATCTAAAATAATACTATCTCTTTAAAACTTTTTCTCTATAAGATTTCTAAGCTTTTAACTCATAGTTCATTTGTTTGATGATAAAAGAATGCCTAAGTGACCACTATAGCAATATCTTCTAGTCTGCTTGATGAGTTCTTGTAGAAGAGTAACTTAGTTTTTGTTTTTTTCTCTAGTTTTTTATGTTTTTACGATGCATGTGACCAGCTAATAAGTGTATGTGTCATTTGAGTCCTCTATAGTACTATTTGTTGATCAATGGTACTGATAGTATACTTTAATCATGATTTTGTTGTTTGTAGGAGCAGATATAGTTCCTTGAGTTGAGATAGTCGTTCTAGATCCCTTAAAGCATTTTAGGCTTCTAACGAGTAAGGGAAGTAAACTCCTGTAAGACCCATGAAAAATATTTACAATTTTATTACTAGTAGAAATAAATTTCTTTGTGAATGGAAAATATAATAAGTTTATGTGAAAAGTTAAATAAGAAATTTTGATAGCTTAATTGGTAGAAAATTTGTGGTGATGGGTTCAAACTCTTTTCTACCTTTTTCTAAAAAAAACGAAAAAAAAAACAAAATAAATTTTAAAATATTGATAGTGGATAAAGCACTCATATTTTAAGGCATTATTGAGGGATCAAATTGGCCAAGTGGTGATTAAAATATTAATATAATAAGATAATATTAAAATAATAAATAATATTAAAAATTTGTAAAATAGTAAAATTTTTGGACTATAAATAGTCATGAGAGGAGAGGTTATTCTGCACAAAGAGAAGAAGAATCAAGTGAGAGCTTGAGATATAGAAAAGAAAGAGTTAGGGAGAAATTTTTAGTTGCAAGAAGAGTAGAGGTTCTGAAGGGTTTTCGGGGAAACAAATTCGGACCAAGAGAAGTCTGGAATAAAGGTAGGGGAGCTAACCTTTCTAAGCTTTTATATTATGATTTAGTACTGTTTTATTACTATTCATGTCTTGCATTCTGTGTGAATACTGTTAATTTTTATTGTATATCTATCTATATTGAATTTCTGTGTTAATATTATATGTTGTTGTTTTGAATCTGTAAATAAGAAATTTGTTAAAACTAGTTGAGGAACACTTTAGCTAAGGAAAGACTTGGTACTTAAGTTGTCCATTGTGACGCACCTCTCTTTCTTGGAAGTCTACTTGACAAGTTTTTAACTTAAATCTTGTTGAACAGATTATGTACTGTTAAACTATTGTGCAATATATCTTGTTGGAATGAATTCATGTTATTGTGGTAGATACGAAATTATGAATTATAATTGTGATGGTAGGATAGAGGAATCTTAAAAACCGGAGTTGGAACATCCCTGATCATAGCGCAGCCATGGTCCAATCCAGTAAGTTGTGACTAGTCATATGTACTAGAGTTTATGGTGAGTTTGATTCGTCAAACATTTGATTCTTCTCCGGTGACCATTTATAGTGATATTTTAGTATTGTTAATTTATTTATACATTCATTTTGTATGATTTATGTGATGATTGTATTTTATTATATTGGATTTGAATTTATGCATCTAAACATGATATGAGTATTATGGGGAGATTTTGTAATGGTATAATGTGAGTTGAGGAATATGAGCATGGTATGAGTTTCGTGGAGAGATTCAGTAATGATATGGTATTTATGTATATGTTGATGTTGAGGGTCTTGTAGTTGGAGGTTATCTTGATACTCTAATAATCATCCAGTCTCAAGTAGAGAAGGATGAATTATGTGGTGAGAGAGGCAGGAGGTCCTGGTCTATGTGCCGATTTTGGACATAGTGTTGAGGATTAACCTTGTGAATGGTATGGAGTATTTTGGAAGTGTATTTGTAAGAAGAAGTAGAAGTCATCACAAGTGCATAACCTCCCGTGACCGCTCATCAACGTATCATCCGGATGAGTGTC